AAGATGTTATGACCTGGTTCATTGTTATTGCTGATACCTCAAGTCCTGCCATACACTGATGAGATGACCCATCCTCAAATTGTCCTCTTGGCCCTAACTTTCTCACTCTAAGTAAGGGCCACTGACTTACTTCTTTGCTCCTACACCCATAGCCTTGTGTTACCATATCATCTTCTCATTTACTGAGGGCCCTCCAGCTCCACTGCCATCTTCTCCTTCCTTCCAGCCAAGGCCTGTGATACAACACCTCTACTTTCTTTCCAGTATCCTTGAATCCTTTGCACTATTGTTTTTCTCTCATGCCTTCTGGCAAATTCCCAAACAGTGCTCAGTTCTACATCCTAGAAAACTATGGTGACTATCCACCTTTCTCCATTCTGCCTCATTTTCACCTGAACCATTGCACAGCTCTCTTTATAACTTTTTTCTTTTATGATTATAAGTCGACTGAGGCTGAAACATGGCCATTGAGGAGAGCCAGAACAGACCAGCTGAGTGGACCTGGGACCTGAATGACATTGTGGAGGTACCAATCAGCCTGCTCTTTTTCCCAGTATGTCATGGAAGTTTTTTCAATAACTATAGCTACCATCAGCAACAAAACCCATTTGGGTAAAGCATGTTGTTGGGTCACTGTTATAAGGACTAAACACAATTCCTAGTTGATACAAAACCTGCAATTTTTTGGCTTTTGCTTAGATGTATCTCCTGAATACAATCTCAAATTGGACCTATTCCTTCTGTCCAGAGGCACTTCGAATGGAGGAGGTCTAAGTCATCAACTCTCATTGGATATACATATACAAAGGACCCCTGAGTTCCTTGTCTCAGCGAATAGCACCACTGTTCATTCAGCCAGAATATGATGTCTCCTGTTTCCTTATTTTCCCATTCAACTCCTCACCCTCAGTTCTATATCCAGGAAGCATCCTGACTCTGTCCACCTCTCTCCATTCTGCCTTATCTGTACTGAATTATTACTACAGTTTCCTTTATAATCCTCCCCTCCCCCTTTAATCTTGCTCCTTTCAACCCACTCTTCTGGCTGCAGTCTTAGGGATCTTCTAAAGCACAAACTTGTCAATGTCATTATTCTGCCTAAAACCTTTCAGTGGTTGCCTAGGACCGGCTATACAAGACTCTGCCAGGAATTATGATGTTGGTCCTGCACTCACCATCCCTTCTTGTAACATAGGTCTTGAGCTATGGGCATGTGACTCAGGCTGGCCCAATTATGGTATCCCATCTCCCTCACCACAGTGATTGGTCCAGGAATGGGCACATGACAAGAGTTGGACAAATTAGAAATCTTTCTTGGAACTTGTCCAAATCAAGCTAGAGTATAGAATTATTCACAGTCATATACTTTTGAAATGGCAAACTCCAAGAAGTAGGAGAGAAAGGCAGGGGGTCCTGGTCTGGGAAGCCCCTAGTATCAGCCATGAATTTCCAGAATAACTTTGGTTTCAGGTTCTTCTTTCGATTCTGAGTGACCTGAATATCCTTCCGGTAATCTCTTCCCTCCCCATTTTCCTACATTGGTTTAAGTAGAGGCCTCTTGCTTCCAACTAATTATTTCCTGACTATTGTGAAGAGCTTTGGCAGTGTGGCCTTAATAAGAAATCGTTCCTGGGTAACAGAGTTCTTCACAGCTTACCTACTGTTTTTCAGTTTTACAAACTATTTCATTTGACACTTTTCTTCCTCTCTCTCTCTCTCTCTCTCTCTCTCTCTCTCCCTCTCTCTCTCTCATTTTTTTTTTTTTTTGGTGGAGGTGCTGGGGAATCAAATTCAGGGCCCTGTGCATGGTAGCATGGTAGGCAAGTGCTCTGCCACTGACCTACACCTGTAGCCAATTTGTGCGAGGAGCTTGTAAGATGGGTATTACTAAGACCTTGACAATTTAGGTAAGAACATTAAGACTCATAGATGTCATATGGTTTGCACAAGATGAAAAAGCTATGAATTAGGAAAGTTTGTCACCAAATCTCACTTCTCTTTAAGGTCCCCTGTGCCTGCCCCTTGCCAGTGCATACATGGTTGTACAGCCCAGGATGGGCAAGAGCAGCTTCAGGACAAAGGACTATGGAGGAATTCAGAGGAAGACAAAAACCAAGTTCTTCCACTTAAACTTTAATTGATATTTGCTTCAGGAAAAGAAACTATTGACTTCTTTGCTTTCTTTCTTTCTTTACTGTTCCTTGTTCCCACAATCCATACTCCAGGCTTGTAGTCAGTACTTTAATTCAGCTATTTTATTGGCAATTACAGTCCTAGGGACTAGTCTGCAAAGGAAATTACTAGTTACAATACAATTCTTTTATAAGTTGGGGCTGTCTCTATCCTAATTCTTTCATTTTTTAATAAAGGAAATAAAACATATTCTGAATGGATGTTCTCTGCTGCTCTCAGAAGCAACCCCGTGTTGCTGTCAAAATGGGAAAGCTGGGTAGCTGGGAATGGCAGAGGAGTATCAGATGTGAGTGTCCAGTGAGAACTGCTGGGGGATGGGGTGGGGTGAGGTGGGGTAGGAAATGCTGACTCTGTGAGGGATCTTCCCCACCCTCTTTAAAATTTTATTTTATTTAATTTATTTATTTTTATGTGGTGTTGAGACTCAAACCCAGTGCCTCACACATGCTAGGCAAGAGCTCTACTACTGAGTCACAACCCCAGCCTCATATCCCCACCCTCTTAAGAACCTGCAGCAGTGTGTTCAACCTGTCTAAAAAGAAAAATGTGTCCCAGAGGCTGCTCAGATTGGCAGAACCTCCAACATCACTCAGTCTATGGTTCACAAAGTTGTCTTCACTCTCCTTCCTCTTGTTCTATGCTCATGACCTTCACATCCAGGATTACACAGATATCATCAGATGTGAATGGTCATCTTTTCTTCACTGGAAATATGTCAGCCTCTGTGTCCTTTTCTTAATAACTGTGGCAGTCTCCTTCCATCAGAGGTGACCTTTTCATCAGTGCCCATATCCCATCTTCTTTAGTCTGCTCTTCAGAGTCACTGCTCCTTCTATCTCTCCTAGATCTTTCCTATCACTGTACAAACCTGCTCTGGGATAATTTATATTTTAACAAACTCCTCTGTAGTCTAATAAAAGTCAAAATTAAATGTGGTCACAAGCACCAGAAAATAGAAGATTAAACATATATAAAAAGTCAATAGGTAGGTAGCTGAGTAGGTGTGGTGACTCCCTAAATATCAGGAACCCACATTTATTCTCACTCTTCCATAACCTCCTCAATACATGGCTTCTACTACAGATTCCATATGGTTACTGGAGCTCCAACAGTATATCCATATATTCCAGTGAGGAAGAAAGAACAATGGCTGAGGAAAGCACATTATTTCCTTTAAGGCCAATTTAAAATTTGCACATGATCACCCCTACATCCTGTTGGCTAGAACTGAGTCACATGATTATTCATAATTGCAGGATAGGCTGAGAAATTCTATTATGAAAAGAAAGGGTGAGAATGGTTTTTAGAGTAATCTAGCAATCTCTACCAAAGCCTCCTATATGCCCACATCCCTTTTGAGATTCCTTCCAAGTTCTCTGTTTCCTGTTAGGTTGTCCATATATGATAGCTATACTACGTTCTAGCTTTCACCCCTCTACTTCAAGAACACTGCATACCCAGCATGAAAAGAGAGCCCAGCACACATCAGGCCCCCAATCAAGCACTTACTGTCTGCTGAAAATAATTGGACGGTCAAGTTCCCATAGAGGTCCCTAAACTACCTGGGGTGTCACAGAGACAGTTGCAATCCCTTAAAGAAACAGCAATAACTGGAATAAACTGAACAGATACCATTTCAAGTCTCTCTCTCTCTATCTATCTCTCTCTCTCTTTGTTTTTGTAGGGCTGGGAATTGAACCCAGGTCCTTCTCCCACTTGCTAGGCAAGCGCTCTACAATTAAGCTATATGCCCAGCCCTTTTTACCTTGAGACAGGATCTCACTTAATCGCCCAGGCTGGCTGGCCTTTAACTTTTGATCTTCCTGCCTCAACCTCCCAAATAGTTGGGCTTACAGATGTGCGGTGACTGTGCCCCCAGCCTAGTAAGATTCCTGTGATGCATTGCCAGACAGAGCAGACTACCTGATCCTCAGTCCCCTCTATGAGTTTAAGCAACAGCAGTGTGCCTGTGCTTCACTTTACAAGTAGGGAGGTCGATGCTAGGAAGGTCAGCCTTTTCATCACGAGATGCATGCCAGCAGGGTGGATCCCCCTGCATACTTGTCCGTACCTCAGGTCTCCCATGCCGCCAAGAATCACCTCAGCCACCTCCTCATCATAAAGGTGAGGAACAAATCTCAGCAGGAGATACAAAGAAAGCGTGGTATTTTTAGCATCAAGGCTGGAAGGAGCGAGTCCTTAGTGTTCCGTATGCAAAGAAATAAAAATCTTAATTTACCATCTCTTCTTTTACAGACTACCCCCACCTTGGATTTCCAAGGCCGGGCAAGAACGCCTTCCATCTTCAAAACAGCCATTTTCCTAATCCTTCTCCCACCACTACCCAGTCGCCCTGAGCATCCCTTGAGATGTGGCCTCCCACAGCTCTCTGTTCTCAGCTGGGGCCAAACCTGGGGCAAGACCGGAGGGGCGTTCGCGACTGCTCGCAGTGGCCACAAATGCCCGCCCAGGGTCCAGGCTCCGCCTGCGCCGCTCACCCACCGCTAGGGCAAGGACCAGGGCTGCCCCCAGCCTAGGGCACCGCCCAGAGTCGGACAAAGGGGCGGGTCGGCGATCTGGCCTCACAGCTTGGGGTGCTCCGAGAGCTGGAAGGCGGGGCGGGGCGGGGCGCGGCGGGGGAGGGTCGATCCGCGGCGGGCGGGGCGGGGCGGGGCGGGGCCAGGCGCGGGGCCGCTCCGGGAGGCAAAGGGAAGCGGCGCCCCTTCCTTCGCCGGCGCCAGGCGCCGCGCCCCCGGCCACGCCCCTCTGCGCCCCGCCCCCGCCGCTCGGACGGCCCGAGTCGCGCCCTCCCGCCTGGCGCTGCCGAACTTGCTCTAACTTCCTCGGCCGACCGGGCCGCGCCGCCGCTGCCGCGCCCGGGTGAGTATCGCGCGGAGCCCCAGCCTAAGCGTCGGGCCCTGCCCGCCTCATTGTCTGAGGCCGAACCCCTCAGTGAACGTCCACCGGAGACAAGGACTGCTCCCCAGATTCCCGCTCTGTCCCTCAGACTGCCTCCTCGCCTGCCCGGGGGCGGCCCCGCGGGCGGCGCTGGCTTTGTCTGCCCGGATCGCCCGCGAGAGGTTGGAGGCCGCGGCCCGGACCCTGCGGAGCCGAACTCAGGCTCCGGGCGGAGTGAGAGGCGCGGCGGGTGATCCGGCTGGCGCTCCTGACTCAGTCGCCCTGGTTTCCCCCGGGGACGGGCGGGGGTGGGAGTACCCTGCGAGGGAGGGGCTGGATTCCCGCCGTCGCTCCGGGCTCGGCTTTCGTCCCCAGCCGCGAGTCCCGGGGTGGGCGCTCTCTTCGGCTCCGTAGCCAAACCTCGGCACCCGGGAGCGAGGGTCGGGGTTGAAGGTGGAGGGGTGGGTACAGGCCAGTGAGGGCTGCCCCCTCCCCCTACTCAGCAATGGGTGTTCTCCAAGTCGCGCACGCGACTGTGCGTCCGACTCTGCTTGGCTCCGGCTTGGGGCTGCCGGAGTTTGAATACGTGGAGACCCAGCTTCTCCGTGCTTGGAAGCAGAGCCCGACCCCCCCTCCCCCCGACCCCTGACCTGGCCTAAGCTTTGGCCGGGTTGCTTTTGTGGCTCGTCCCAGCTTGCTGCTCCGTCCCCGTTGCGGAGGTTAGGAAGTTTGTGTGTGTGTGTGTGTGTGTGTGTGTGTGTAGGGACGTTGGCCTTGGGACCACTTGAACGTGTGTCTTGGGAACTTAAAATTGGCCTCCGTAGAAAGTCGGAGTTTGGGGAAGTCATGAGCCCGTTAGTATTCTGGCGCTGGCCACCAAGCAGTGGTGAGTACTAAATAACTGTCCCTGGACGCTGGTCTGAGGACTTCATGCCAGAGAGTGTAGGGCTTTGAGTTGGAGCCTCTGCAGGTGTGCTGAGAGCTGGAATCTGCTCTACAGGAGGTCACTCTTGGGCTGGTGTGTCAGCTGTATGCCAAATCCTCAAAGAAGCCTTCACCCTGCCCCTTGACCTGGAAGTAGAAGTTGGTGCCATCTGAGTGCTTGGGCCACCCCTTCCCTTTTGTGAAAGGAAACCTGGAGATCCACATTCAGCCAGTACAGTGGTTGGTGGAGGCAATTTTCCTTTCAGGGATGCTCCTGGGTGCTGGCACCCTCAGAATGAAGGCCAGATTCCATCATGGCTCCATATTGCCTTCTAGCCCCCTTCCTCAACGGTCCCCAAGTTTTGTGTCCCATTCAGTGTGTGTGTGTGTGTTTGTGTGTGTGCACGCGTGTGCTTGCGGTGCGATCGAAGTGCCATTGCACTTTGCCACACTAGGGGGTTGAACCCACGGCCTCACACCATGCTAGGCAAATGCTCTACCTCTGAGCTATACCCCCAGGCCCCATTCTGAAGATTTCTATTGTTTCGAGGTCAGACCTTAGAAACCAGGCTACCAGATAAATTTTCCCTCTCCTTCTCATTGTGTTATCCTTTGTTGCACTCCACCTTCAGGTGAAGACTTCTTTGATGTGTCAGTCTCTTCCTTTCATTTCTTAACTCCACTACTTGGACCACTTAATATTATCTGGCACTGTTGCAGGCAGTGTTCTAGGAATAGTGATTCCCTGACCATCTGTAAAACCTGTGTGGTCTTAAATTCCAGGCTGGACTTAAGTAGGTGCCCAATAGTGTTTATTGATTTGAGTTTAGCAGCATCAAACAGGAATTTGAGTCATGGATGCCTTTGCAGGTTTGTGGCTGCTCCCAGGAAGAAAGGGCATGGAGGAGAGGGGGCTGCAGAAGTGTTATCTGCCCAGGGAAGATCCACCCCTTTTTTAGCAACTGTGCTAATCTCTTAGGACAGGTGAGGACTCGCTCCTCCCTTTCCATGTTTGGGAGTGGGAGGATGAAGCTCATGCCTTGCGTGGGAGGGGAGGGGCCTGCTTTGCAGGTTTTTGGGAGTGAAGTTCCCAGGGAGGCCAGGGTGTATGGAACCATTTCCTGAGGCCTCATTCTAGGTCACAGTGCGCTCAGGGATTTGACCTTGTTTAACTTCAGCTGAGTAGAATTCACTTTGGCAGCACCATTTGCCATTGTGCCAGTCCTGGGAAACCTTTGCTGGTGTACAATCTAGGAAGGTTTTGGAGAAGCGTACCGCAAATATGTGGCAGGTTTAATATTGATAGTAATAGTGACTTTGTTGAGGCTTAGTATTTACTGAGACTTAAACCAGTAAACTATGCTAGTTTTACTTATATTTACTCATTTAATCCTTGAAACAACCCAGTGTGAGATGATATTAACCACCTCATTTTACAGATAGGAAACAGTGGTCAAGATAGGTCACAGAGTAACTTAGCTTGAGTTTTCAATTTGAGCTGGATTTCCTGATTGCTAATTGGAAACAGGCATTACTTAATGCCGTCCTCCAAGAAGTGATTAAAATTGATTAATATACTGAACAAACCTGGCCCGCAGCAGAAAGACTAAGTTCTTACTGGGGCAGTTGCCTTTATATCCCTGCATCAGAAAGCATCTTGCGAGTCTAACACAGCCTGGGCACACAGCAGGTACCTCCAGATCCCTGCTGATTGACTGCTGATGTAGCTTATGTGGTAAGGACAGATAATGGGAAAAGTGACTGAAAAGTCACTGCTTATATCTGTCTAGAGAGATCAGGGTTTGATGTGGTAACAACAATCTCAGAGGCTTAAAGCAACAAAGGTTTATTTCTCATTCATTCTACATATCCATTGCCTGTCTTTATGTTGTCCTCATTATAGGACCACATATGGTACTATGCGGATTCATTGGAACATTCCTGGCCACTTGGACAGAGGGATAGAGAGCATGATGAATCCTCCCCTGATTCTTAGCCCATCTACCTAGAACTGGTATTTCATTGGCTGAAGCAAGTCACATGGCCATATTTACCTGCGAAGTGGGGAGGAGATAGAATCAGAAACATTTGGTGAATAGCACTTATGCCCAACACTTGCCTGCCACTGTTCCTTCCTCTGTGGTTTCTTCCCACAGAGGGGATCCTATTATCATTGTATGTATCTATGTCACCAGGAGCAGTAATCCTGAATTAGAGAAGCACCATTTAAGTTAAAGATGAAATGAGGTGCTACATTTGAAAGGCAGAGGTATGGTAAACAAAAATGCATTTCAGGATAGTAAGAGGTGGTCTGCAAAGGCACTTCGATCCTCTGGTCCTGGGTAAGTTACTTGAATTCCTGAATATTATTTTGCTCATTCATTAATTCATCCATTCATTCAGAAGCTCAAGAACCAGTGGCAAGTTTCAGGTCAGAGATTCTTACGAAGCACATGCTCAGGTCCCAGTCCACTGCTAGGTATGATGATACCTGTTTTTTGCTGCTGAGTCCCAGTAGCCTTTTAAGTGAAATATTATTATTCCTGAGAGGTTAAGCCAGACTCCTGTTCAACTTCACTGCCCTGGCTTGTGAGTTCTAGGATATCTTGCACTTCCTATCCCGCCTAGATGTGGCTAGCCACCTTTCCTTGAAGCAGGAACAGATAGAGTTACCTCTGGCAACTGTGCCCTCCCCCTTCCCTTTTTGTATTCTGAGGCTGAGCTTGCAGGCCTAGAAGTGTGGACAGGAGTATTTGTGTGGAGAGGTAAGTGGAGGGTGGACTCATTGGCAAACAGGATTGAGTATGGGGCTGGGATGGTTCTCTGGAACCATCTACTAGAAGGGATTAAAAAACAGATGATGTTAAAAAATGAGCTACACTGAAGTTCTTGCTTTTGTGCTTCATTACCTGCTTGGTTTCTGGTGACATCCAATATACCCCACAGACACTGGGAATGGTGGAGAGACCTCAGGTTCTTCTGCATTATGGCTAACTCACTATCCTTAGGCATATTTTCTCCTTTTGCAGATCCTCTTTTCCCATCTGTGGAATGGAGGAACAAGTGATTGTGATCTCCAGCAGTTCCCACTCTTGGCTGGCCATCAGAGTCCCCAGGGAGCTGTGTAGACTGGTGATTTGAAACTCTTGGGCTTAGAGAAGCCAGTATTTTGGGTTTGCTTTTCCCAAACCCAAAAAGCAGTGTCTTCTCTGACTGTGAAGAGCATAGGGTTTTGTAGTCTCCCACTCATTTCTCCCTTAACCGCATATGTTTTTCATTTGGACAGAGCAAGTAATTGTGTTGGTTAGCACAGTACCTGGCTAGTGGGCATTGTTCAGGATCTCTGATGATTCAACATGAAGATGACTGGCACCAACCAGCTCACAGAGTGGACAGTGGGGAGGCCAGCTTTCAACTTGTGTCTAATTTCTGACCAAGTGTCCTAGATCACAGTTTTACATTTTCTCCTCTGGATAGTGAAGCAGAATCAAATCTGCCTTCTTGTCTCACTGGGTTGCTTTGAGTGTGAGTAACACTTCAGATTTGAGAAACTGGGTCCAGAGCCCGAGTCAGGCCTGATATTCTGTTTGGGACAGTGCCATCTGTCTGGAGGCTCTCAGCAAAGTACTTACCAGCAGCTGATTCTGGGAACCCCACTTCCTCCACTCTTGGGCCTGGTAGGGTTGGGTGGAGCTGGGCTGGGCTGTGGTTTTCTCTTAGGAGGCAGCAGGTCTGTAAGTGGGCCTCGGCAGATCAGAGTTGAAACCTTTACCTCCTGAGGTCTGTCTGCTTCCCTCTTTGAGCAACAGGGTAAAGACCTTGGCTAAATAGCTGGAGAGTCAGGCTCCTCTCTTCTTGAGCTCTGTCAGCCTGCTCTGGATGACTGAGAGCCATGACAGTTGTCTCAATTAGCTGCTGGGATCCTAGTAGGAGGTTGGCCCCTAGTGTTGCCTCAGACTCTGTGTTCCCTGGCATTAGGCAGACCTGAGTTTCCGCTGTTGGCATGGGTAAGATTTGGGGAGGGGCCAGGGCAAGGGGCTGGTGAACCCTTTCTGGGT